TTACATGTAATCTTTACATGTAACTCATCCTCACTAATAAGACCCTAGGAGACAGCAAAAAAAAATCTGTCCAGCTCCTCAATATTAAGGCTCAATGATCATACATTTTTGCAAATCAAAAATGTCACACTGCTTGGAGGGGAGCTTCTGTAGTAGATTATATTATATATTTGCTAGTAAATGTGCTGGGTGCCCCTTTGAGTACACTTTCATTATACTTCAGTCTTTTTTACTTTCTTCCCAGCCCAGCTTCACACAAATACCAAGGATTATACAAGCACACTCTAATAACGTTGTTGGAAAGAGATCTGGAAATATATTAGTAGTGGTAAGTGTAACATATTAAAAGCAATTAAGCAGAAAAATATTTCTGAAGATTGTGTAAACTACAGCTATTCTTGGATCTTGCCAATAAATGTCTAACCTGTTAGTTTAAATTGCTGTTATCATTAAAACTGCATTTGAGTGTAACTTGAGAAAAGTGCAAAAATGTCTCGGAAATACTTTTGGATCCAAATATAGATGCTGTGGAGATAGATAGAGAGACAGAGATAGATAGATAGATAGATAGATAGATAGATAGAGAGACAGAGAGAGACAGATAGATAGATAGATAGATAGATAGATAGATAGATAGATAGATGATAGATAGATAGATAGATAGATAGATAGATAGATAGATAGATAGATAGATGATAGATAGATAGATAATTTTCAGCTTGATTTGTGTGTTGAGCTTGTAACTGTCTTAGTAGTACTTAATGTTTACTAATATTGTTATTATTAGTTAGAGAGACTTTATATTTATTTTATTTTATAAAATGCTAATTTAAATACAGAGACCCTTTAAAGAAACCCTGACACCACTTTACTAAAATTAAACAAAAAAGTTTAACGGAAAAGAAGGATTTTAATACTTACCTATACTGCTACCCGCATCAACAGTCTGTGCTGTATTCAGTTAGGTAGGGGCAGGGTCTCTTTAACCACTTTCCCTCCAGAGGATTTACCCCCCTTGCTGACCAGGCCATTTTTTGCGATACGGCGCTGCGTTACTTTAACTGACAATTGTGCAGTCATGCAATGCTGCTCCCAAATAAAATTGACATCCTTTTTTTACCCACAAATTTTTATTTTTTGCGCTATAACAAAAAAAGAGCGTGATCGGCTGCTTTGAAGGCCAGAGGAGAGATCTGGGGTCTAATGGACCCCAGATCTCTCCATAAAGAGTACGTGTCACAGCCCTTGCTTTCACAAGGGATGTTTTTCATCCTTTGTGAGAGCAATAAAGTAGATGAAACAGTGTAAAAAGGAAAAGTTAAAGAAAATAAATAATAAAATCTAAAAAAAAAAATGAAAGCTCCCCTTCCTCCCCATGCTCGCATGCAAAGGCAAACATACAGTATATGTACTGTAGGTCATGCACACATTTGATAACGGTGATTGCATCACACATATGAAGTAACAGAATGAATGTTATAGTGAGAGCAATAATTCTAGCATTTGAACCTGTAATTAAACCTGTAAAGGCTTTTAAAGCATCGCCTATCGAGATTTTCAAGTATCGTAGCTTGGTGTTGCTCCATGAGCGTAGTCCATTTTAAAGTGTGACTTTTTTGGTATCTATTTACTTAGCGTAACATCAGCTTCTATATTATATTGAGTTTTGGAGCATTAAAACTCATTAAATTATATATTTTCCCCAAAACCTGTGTATGAAAATACCGATGCGCAAATATCACGTGACAAAGAAATACGGAACATCCACCATTTTATTCTCTAGGGCCTCTGCTTTAAATAATATATAATGTTTTGGGGGTTCTAAGTAGTTTTCTAGCAAAAAAATTGCTGATTTTTACATGTAGTAGAGAAGTGTCAGAATTGGCCCAGTAGGCAAGTGGTTAATCAGAATAGTGGCTTTGCACCCATCACAAAAACCTCACCAAAGCTGCCAGAATTGGATCATACAGGTGATTTTTTTTGTGAAATGTATGCTTTAAATTTCAAGTTCAAATTGAGATAAAAAATCCCCAGTCCTTAGTCTCTACGTCACTTCCTTCTCTAAGTTAAAATACTCCACCAAAGTGCCCACTTAGGTTTCTCTGATGACAGAAGCGTCTCGTAGTATTTACATCCCCCATTCTTGACATCTGCACACTAAGTTCCCTTAGACTTAAATGGTCCATACCAAGCCCAGTTCAAGTCTGTGGGAAGTTAATGCACAGGTATAAGATTTTTGAATGTTTCCCTAAGGGCAGCACAGTGGCTAAATGGTTAGCATTTCTGCCTGGCAGTACCAGGGTTGTTGGTTCAAATCCCAGCCATGGTACCTCCTGCCTGGAGTTTGCATGTTCTCCCTGTGCCTGCATGGGTTTCCTTCAGGTACTCCAGTTTCCTCCCACACTCCAAAGTTATGCTGGTAGGTTAATTGGATCCTGTCTAAATTGACCCTAGTATATGTATGTATATATGTATGAATGTGAGGGTTAGGGAATGATGTGAATGTACAAATATACAGTTGTGTTCAAAATAATAGCAGTGTGTTGAAAAAAGTGAATAAAGCTCAAAATCCTTCTAATAGCTTTTTATTTCCATACACACAAATGCATTGGGAACACTACACATTCTATTCCAAATCAAAACATGAAGAAAAATATATCAAATTTCTGTTGTTCCTCTAAAAAAATTGAAGAAAAGTGAATATTAGACTGTTCAAAAAAATAGCAGTGTTTGTATTCTTCTTTACAAACTCAAACATTCACTATATAAACTGAAAAATGTTTGAAGATTTTGCTTTCCTTTGAATCACTTAATGAATATTTAGTTGTATAAGCACTGTTTCTGAGAACTGCTGTACATCTGTGTTGCATGGAGTCAACCAACTTCTGGCACCTGTGAACAGGTATTCCAGCCCAGGATGATTGGACTACATTCCACAGTTCTTCTCTATTTCTTGGTTTTGCCTCAGAAACTGCATTTTTGATTCACCCCACAAGTTTTTCTATTGGATTAAGATCCGGGGTTTTGGCTGGCCACTCCATAATGTCAATCTTGTTGGTCTGGAACCAAGATGTTGCACGTTTACTGGTGTGTTTGGGGTCATTGTCTTGTTGGAACACCCATTTCAAGGGCATTTCCTCTTGAGCATAAGGCAGCATGACCTCTTCAAGTATTATGATGTATTCACACTAACCCATGATCCCTGGTATGCGATAAATAGGTCCAACACCGTAGTATGAGAAACATCCCCATATCATGATGCTTGCGCAACCATGCTTCACTGTCTTCCCAGTGTACTGTGGCTTGAATTCAGTGATTCAGTGTTTGGGGTCGTCTGACAAACGGTCTCCGGCCACTAGACCCAAAAAGAACAATCTTACTTTCATCAGTCCACAAAATGTTGCGCCATTTTCTCTTTAGGCCAGTCAATGTGCTCTTTGGCAAATTGTAACCTCTTCAGCACATATCTTTTTTTCAACAGTGGGACTTTGCGGGGCTTCTTGCAGATAGCTTGGCTTCACATAGGCGTCTTCTAATTGTAACAGTACTCACAGGTAACTTTACACCTTCTTTGATCTTCCTGGAGCTGATTGTTGGCTGAGTCCTTGTCATTTTGGCTATTCTTCTATCCATTCGAATGGTAGTTTTTCGCTTTCTTCCACGTCTTTCAGGTTTTGGTTGCCATTTTAAAGCATTTGCGATCATTTTAGCTGAGCAGCCTATCATTTTCTGCACTTCTTTATATGTTTTCCCCTCTCCAATCAACTTTTTAATCAAGGTACGCCTTTCTTCTGAAGAAATGTCTGGAACGACCCATTTCCCTTAGAATTTCAGAGAGAAATGCACTGTAAACCAGCATGTACAACATTTTCTGCCTTCCTTCCTTCAATAAGGGCAATAATTGCCACCTGTTTTTCAAAGAATGAATGACCTCACTAATAGAACTCCACACTGCTATTATTTTGAACATGCCCCTTTCAATTAGTGATTCAATTACACAGAATCAGCAGCATGCATGTCATGACTGTTGGGTCTGTTGGATTTCTATTACTCTACTACACCTGCTAGTAAATTATTTGCCATGTAGAAATATCATTTCTACCAAAAACAGTGATTGATCAGGTTAGTGATGTCTGACTGCTATTATTTTGAACACAACTGTATATGTAAAGTGCTGCATAAATTGACAGCGCTATATAAGTACCTAAAATAAATAAGTTTAAGCCAAGTACTGATTTTTTTTCTCCTGGCCTGGAGTTGTTCTTTATCCTCAAGGTCAGTTATCTGACACCTGGCCACACTGTGGACGTTGGTTGCTTCACTGTTTTGTTAGTAAATAGACAAAGAACTACTACTTTATATCTATACAATACACTAATCTCTACAAGCTAATTTATCAGAAAGACACACAGAGCACCTAGAAACTGTTTTTTGCTTTACATGTAACACTTTTATTTTTGGCTACTAAGATCTATAAATAGTTTCTATTTAATCAAAGAAAGCCAGAGATTTCATTGGTTTGATGATTACTCCACTGATCAGCCCACTGTGAAATTCTTCTGCAGCTGTGTCATTACTGGTGTTTAAAGCGAACCTGGCCTGAGCTTAAGCACCTCTAAGGTGCAATCAGTATTAAATGCAGACACCACTTGATTGTGGGTGTGGCTGAGCACTGAAAAGGGGTGTGGTTTATTCTAAACTCAGAGAACATGCAAAAAAAAATTGTTATAAAATATTTTTATCTTTTCAATGTTTCTCAAGAGGAGGTATCACTGCTGACTGCAAGGTTTTTTTGAACAGTGTTAGAGTGAGCCTGTCTCAAGTCTGTCCTCATTAACCACTTGCCACCCGAGCTATAGCCAAATGACGGCTACAGCACTGTTGTCCAGTTCTGGGAGGGCAGTATATGACGTCCTCCCAGAACGTGCCCCCAGCGGAGTGCATCCAGCAATCTCCGTGATCGCTATGTTCTACAGACACAGCTATCACGTGATCAGGTAAAAAGTCAATCACAGCAGCCTTTACCATGTGTTCAGCTGTGTCCAATGACACAGCAGATCACCGAGTACACAGTTGCCAGTTATCAGCTGCACTTTCCTCACGCTGTCACAGCATGAGGAAAGTACTACCGCTACCAGGCAACTGTCACAGAGCAGATCGGCACTGATGATCAGTGCCCAGCAGTGCCTCCCATCAGTGCCTTCCACCAGTGCCCAGCAGTGCCACCCATCAGTGCCACCCAGGAGTGCTGCCCATCAGTACCCAGCAGTGCTGTCAGTCAGTGCCACCAGTCAACGCTGCCTATCAGTGCCCATCATTGCTGCATATCAGTGCATCATCATCAGTGCCTCCTCATCAATGCCCACCAGTGCCACCTCATCAGGGCCACCTCATCAGTGCTGCCTATCCGTGCCACCTCATCAGTGCCCATCAGTGCTGTCTATCAGTGCCCCATCAATGCTGCATATCCGTGCAGCCTCATCAACGTACATCACTGAAGGAGAAAAATTACCTGTTTGCAAAATTTTATAATAGAAACAATACCACCAAAAGAAAGCTCTATTTGTGTGAACAAATTATAAAAATTTCATATGGGTACAAAGTTGCATGACTGCTCATTTGACATTCAAAGTGTGAGAGGGCTGAAAGCTGAAAATTGGCCTGGGCACGAAGGATGTAAAAGTGCCCAGTAGGCAAGTGGTTAACATAAAATGCAAGAAGTTAAGGTTCTGCATTTTTAGCCCTCTGTTAGGACAGACTATCTTCAAATCTAGTTACAGTTGATGATGGTGATCTCCATACACAGCACAAACAAGGCAGCTTATAGCAAAACACAGCTGCCAACCCCACACATAAACAAAGAGAACTACCTAGGATTTCTTCTTGCTGGCTATGTGATTGGGGACATCTACAAAATAAAAATCCCAAGGGCTCCACAGGGGTCAATTTGAAGACTATCAAATGAGCAGTCATGCAACATGCAAGCCCCGCTGCAGCCCTGTGCTGTTGTTGCTTGAAACATTTTAGTCCAGATCAGGTTCATTTTAAGCACTGCTTTGCTGGATACCAGGTGGGTTACAGTGGAACTATTCTCACCTTGGCTCCAGCAATGCAATGTCCCATTGACATCTTTGAGGGGCCAGCTTCCAGGTCTCGATTGCTGGCTGTCTTCATTGGTCAGGCAGGGATGATGCCACTCCCGTGCAAGCGTGAGAATTCTGTCAGCTTTGGTATTGCATTGCATTTATTTTACATAAAGTTCCACTTTAATGAATTTTAAATGAACCTGTGAGGACAGGAACAATGGTGTATTAAACCTGATCCTGACCTCACTACCTAGTGACTAGGTAGTGACCATAAACATGTATAAAAGTCTAAAAGATTTGAAGCCATGATCAGATTTGCAGTCCTGTAGTCTGAACTTTTTTTTCAAATTTAATTTTATTATAACAGGGCAGTATCCATAATAGACAATGTATACAGGTAATGTCCAAAAATAACAATCATGTCAAATGTCAAAGGGGGCAGGGAAAGCAAAAACAAAAAGGGGGGGGGGGGCCATAAAAATGGTTCAGTCCAGAAGGGAGGGTATAAAATGCCTTCTCGCTCAGCAGAGCCCATCTCAAAGAGGGCTTAACCCTCCACAGATTAGACAAACATATTTCACAAACTCCATGAAACTTTCATGAGCAATAGCCTTATGGACGGAGGTTGTGTACTTTTTCATTTAAGGAGAATACAAGATTTAGCAATGTTAAGAAGGTGGTGGTGTATTGACTTTTTGTATACATTGGCCAGCATGGTAGAGGCATGCAGGAGGAAAAATGGTCGGATCGTCTGGATCTACATAATTGATAAATTTTTGATTCAACCTACGAACCTCTCTCCAGAAACCAATCAGTTTGGGACAGGACCAGAAAATATGTAATAATGTTCCTTGCTCCCTTTGTCATCGCCAGCATTTGTCAGTGGCAGTTGGGAGATACTTAAGTAAAAGGGCAGGGGTATGATACCATCTGATAAGAATCCTAGAATTAGTTTCCTGATACTTCATGCAGAACGAAGATTTCAGGGCAAAACGAATAATGTTCACTAAACTTTTTTTTAAAGGTATGGCAACTCCCATATTCCTATCCTCATCGTTCCCTTTTCAGTTTTATTAACGAGAACATATCCATACTTTCAGCCTGCTTGGTTAAAACGTCTTCATTGTGGCAGCATTTTCAGACAATGCAACCGCGCTCAATAGAGTACTTTTTTAACCTTGTTATCTTGAAACTCTGTAGCTCCAAGCAATGGTAACACAGGAGCTTCTTGGTAGCTATCCCTAAAGTAGATTTAAAGCTAAAACCTTGTGTAGGGGGGCCATTGCTGTTTCCATTTTAAAGAACTGTTTCCCTTTTAAGACTGCATGTTGTCAGAAAGGGTTTAATCGGCTCAGGTCTCAGCAGTACTGGAGTGTTTGTGGAAGTTGCAGTTTCATCACAGAGGCAAACAATGTAACTTTATACTGCACAGGACTACAGGACCAGGATGCTTTGCAAGGGGGGGGGGAGAGCCATGTGTGCCTTTGCAGAGGACATGTGGGAGCTAGTCTGCAGCCCCTACTGTTGAAGTACACTGACACTGTTTCCAGAACAGCAGAGGTTGCTAAGGACAACGGTTATCTACAGCAGCTGAAGTCAGGAGCAACTGTGATCATTGGTACCATTCACCCGCGGCGGCAGTTACCGACAGCAACAACTTATCCCAGAAGAGAGGTCAGAGTGTTGGATTTCGCAGAGGAAGCATGTGACCATCCCAGGTGAGGCACCTCAGATATTGCTCAGCATGGACAATTGACAACAGGAAAAAACTAGCCAGAGAGACAGAGCCCCATTCATCATCCCTTCAAGGAGTTAACCCCTGGAGACTGTTCTTCTTGGATGTGGTGAGCAACTGCTAACCAGTGACATGTCAGTCCTTAAGAGCACTCCACTGATTCACTAACACAGGCCTGTGCAACCCATAGACTCACACTGTGTTACAATCCTACAGCATACAAGTGAATTTGGGACTGAGCCTAAAGAGATGTCAGTTTAGCTGGGGACATATTGCTGCTGTATTTGCAGGGGGTCAATTCTGATCTATAGCTATACCAGTATATACGTATATACATGAATATTGTGTTTATTGATGTTATTGTGCCAATTCTAGGTTTGTGTATTCAGTGCATTTAACTGCTATTTTCCAAGTTAATTTGCAGTCTATTTGCAGAGTTTTACCTGTCTTATTAAACCTTTTATAAAACTTCACACAAGGTGCAAGTTGTACTGGTGTGCTGTGGATCCAATATATATATGGTTCATCACTGAAATAAGGAACAGAAGTGCGCGTTAATTCCAGCGGCTCCTTCGGGGTGAGCGCTACACTTATATGAGGGTTGAAATGTTAATGGCATTTCATAAGTTGGTTTCAAACTCTTGAACCTGCAGCTTTTATTAAAATAATACCTGGTGATCATGCCATATAGGTCTTTGTTCAGACATGTCCTTTCACCTACCTACAAGGTAATTATGATTTTACACTATGGAATGTCCATTTTTGTCTCTATTTTAATGCTGATACTTCCCATACTGCCTGTGGAGGAGAGGAGGAATTCAGTTTTGATACAGCCCCCCCCGTGAAGCGGCACTGGTACTATTAGCAACGCTGTATAAATCCTGGGAAGGAACATCGGTTACCACTAGCAATGCTGCATAGCCCCTGGGAAGGATTCTTGGTTATTATAACAAAGCAGCACGCTGGGATAGCCCCAAAAAAGCGCAATAGACCATCCTAGAGATAGGTGGTCCTGGGATGACAGTGAGTGCAAATCCATGTGGGGTACTGTTTTGAGCACAGTGGAGCACCTGTCACTTTATTAGGGAGTACACAAATCAAGCATTTAACACTTTATCTTCACATACTGGGACTGAATATTATTACCAGTATAACCAATATGTGTATTGACTTTCACAACCATTTATATTTTTTGTCACCAAGTGTATTGTTTGTACAGTATATGCGCTGTCCATATGGTATTTATTTAGCCATGCCGTATTATCTGCCATCAGGAAGCTGGCTTAGATAAATGACATTCAGCTGAAACAAGAACGCATGCATGTAGACAGGACCTGGAAGACCATCAGCAGCACTGAGATGCACAAGTAATTTAAACAAATGTAAAACAGTATTTTCGAAAATAGAAAAACTTTGTTAGAATACACAGTTCTGGTATCCTTCTTTTTTCTCACTTACATTGAGAAAAAAAACATTGCCCTCTGAGAGATCAATGTACATTGCAGAGATTTTAAGAAATTTGTTGCAGATTCCTACCTTTTGTTATTCTGAAGACATAGCTGTTTGTTTGTGTCCAAAAGCAAAGTGAATGTGAATGGGAGTGATTATATAATTTTCAATCAGCTTCTGCACCTGCAGGGCTCTAATGAGGAAAATTGCAGGGTCTGCATCCTTTTAGATGTGATTTCCCTTTGGGATTATCTCACCGAAAAGGATTTTTTTTTTGTTTCAGGGAATGCTCAAAATCTGACTTGTATCTTAGTGCAGACTTCTGGTAAAATCAGTAAGCCAATCACACAAGCAGGAAATTATATTTCTGGGGGACTATCTGTGTACAGAACAACTCCAGGATGCCATTTTGCATTGCATTTTAAAGAAAATTACAATGCTGCAGATTGAAAAGGAAAGATTTTTTTTTAAAATAACATCCAATTACAATATGACATGTGTAGCAACTATATACACTACATTATTTTTTTATTAGCTATTTTGTTTCCATAAATGTGGAGTTACCCTTTAAGTTGTCATTCTTTCGTTTGCAATTGGACAGGGTAATATCAATTGCTAATTAGATATTATGGGACTTGTAGTAGTTTATTGAAGTGCAGAAAAGACAATCAGCTTCTTTCTGTGGGATTCATAAACAACAAACAAGATGCATGGGATGGAACAAACATTCTTCTGTGTACAGAGGTGGTGTGTATGGATCAATGATACATGTGTACTGCAAATCTTCCTTGTGTGTAAAAGTCAGGTGAACATGACTATTTCCACCTTAAATGGCCTTCTATGGCTGCAGGTTCAGGGATAATCTACTTTGTGGACAACATTTTCTTGAAGACAGCTATTGTTGGTATTTATGTGGAGACAGAGGAAGCCATTGCACTATAGACATTCCTGCAGAATTCTTTGGTATATCTACCTAGAGCTGGCCATAGACAGTTATTTTTTTGTTCAATCAGTCATCTGAACAGATTTCTCCTTCCACACAAACAAGGTGATAGAAGGAATTCCCCCACCGAGACATTGTACTCTGAAAACGGACCCAC